ATAGAAATGAAAATTTTTAATAGTAAGGGACATTTGAATTATGTCCTTACAAATAATTTAGGGACCCATCTTTAACTATGTTATTATAATTATAAAAAAGAAACATGAAAATTTATTTTATTAATATGTTACAAAAATTAATAAAATACAGTATATAATATTTTACATTAAAAAACTTGTGATAATATTATTTATTATTATTTTTAATATACTATATATTAATTTATAAAAATAAAAATTTTAATTGTTGATTAATTTATACAAATAAATTTTTATAAATAATTGATATAAATTTTGAATTATAATTTATATTTAAAATTAATATTTGAAACATCATAAATTTATTGATAGATATTAATAAAACATTTTGTATTTCAAAAAAATTTTATTAAAAAATAGAAATTTAAAAACCAATTTATAAAATCGTATTAGATATAATTTACAGTTTTGAAATATATTTTTTGAAAAATTGTTTTTTGATATTATATTTTTTGATTTGATTTTTGTCAAGTAAAATACAATTTATATTCATTAATCCAAAAATCAAAATTGACAATTATGTTTTTCTTATTTAATTATAAAAAAAAAAAGGTACTATCTAATCAAAAAAATTACTATATACAGTATATATATAGTATGTAATTAATATTTGAGTATTTTTTAAAAATTATTTTATACCAACTTTTTTTTTAAAAAAAAATTATATTTTTTATTCAATAAATGTGTATTGCCTATAAGATTAATTGATCAATATTAATAAATTTTGAAAAGAAATTTATTTAAAAAAATATATACAAAATTTGTAAAATAATATAATTTTTTCGATTAATACAAATATTCAAATAAAATTTGTAGATTTGTAAAGTCAGAAATCACGCAAAGTTATACGTAAATTGGCGATTCGAAAATCCGAGTTTTCAAAACTTTCAAAAAACATTAACTTTTTTCTAATGATAGAATGTTGATAGTTTGTAAATACAGTATATAAATTTTATTTATCGGAAAAGATTAATTCGTGACGTAAATCTAATTCTTAAGGGCATTTGTGTTTTTGAATTGATTGTGTTCGATAAATCTTTATTCTGGTAACATTCCATTTTTTCGTTGCGAGATTACTTATCTCAGTACGTTATTTTAACTTTTTCCATATGCACGCATCGTACATTATTAATCTATCTTAGGATTTCTGGTATGATCTACGGATTGACGATAGGGCGAAATGAGAACCATCACGTAATCTCTATTTCTCGCAGAGTTTGGATAGAAAAAACATGATGTTTTCTATCATAAAACAAATCTAATGATCATTCGATTATTTACATTCACCTTTCATCGGCATTAATCTTCAAGCTATTTCCTTTATTGCAAACTTCTTGATTAAACCTTCGGATTTATAACAATCCAAGGTATTCATCAGCGTATTTCTATCATCTTCTCCAATATTAGCCAAATTGAAATACAGTTCCATCAAAATTAGCGGTTGATTTGAACTTAGAATCCTTTCCTTTCGTTTTCTCAGATAACTTTCCAATTCCTTGTAGCGAATTTTCCACATGCATTTAAATTCCAATTTACGTAATCTCAGTAATCTCGGTTTTATTTCCATCTCCACACTTTCGATCAATGCTAACAATTTGTCCATTTGTGCTTCATAGTAACCATCTTCGTTCTCATAGTTCCCAATGGTTAAGTGTTCTAAATTCGG